AGTCAGGGATGGTCCTGCTTTGAGCTGGGGGTTGGATTAGATAACCTCCTGAGGTCCCTTCTAATGCAAAAAATCTATGATTTATCCAGATTAAAATGAGTGCTTCTAGTAATAGTTTTCTATTAAATACTTTCTAAACTTTAACGGTTTTTATTATTTCTTGGTTGTACTACACTAGCTCCAAGGCCTTAAGTCTTCATTGTGCTAGGTGTTGTACAAACATAAAACAAGAAACATTCCCTGAATGAATTATTTCAGTCCAAACAACAGCATCCACTGATATTTAACTACATTATATTCTATACAGGGTCTTTCCACAATTCCTCAAGAAAACTACATTGTCTTCACATGAAACACCCTGAAGGTACTGGGAATTCTGTAAGCTTTTATTTTCTATTTTCAAAGATTTTGATCTTGAAAATATCCATGTTAAAATATATCTTACCAGTACAGTGCTTAACAAGCACTTATGAAATCCAGAATGTCCCAGTTCCTACTTAAAAATTGTATGAAAGGTCATGAAAATAAAATAATTTTCCTCTGTACTCAACATATTTCTCTTTATTTTGAGTTAAAAATCAGTGCTTTGATTTCTTTGGATAATACTTGATACTACTGCAGTTCAGAGCATACTTGCTTGACTCCTTTGTTTAGTTGAATCAAATCCAAAGTTACATGTATAATAAAGGTATCCAGCTTTTTGAAAAAAATGAAAAGCAGCATACACAAATGCAGAAGTCAGAGGAGAAAATTAAGTAGTAAACCAAAGCAGATTAAACCCAATTACAATAAGGTAGTAACAATTATAGAGCTAAGAAGGGATTTTAAAATCTTTATCTTTTGCAACAAGAACATCAAGGTGACAAATTATTTGAAAGCATCTACTAAATACATCTCTGTCAACCAATGCACTTCAGTGCATACTAGAACATGTTCATGAGAATCGTATGTCTAACTTCACTCCTTGAGAGGCACCTTTATGGAGGGTGTGACCAATCTAAAAGTAGAGTTTATGGTTTGATTTTTGAGCATGAAAACTCAAAATGCATAGTCAACTGTTTAATTTATATTTGTATTAATACATTCCTATTTTTCTAATAAGCATGCAACTCTGACTGCAGTTCAAGCAAGCTGAGAACCTGTGCCAGCTTTTCAACCTTGTGGGTAGAATAGATTAGTCATGGGGCACTCTTTTCATACCAAGAACTGTCATAATCTGGAAGCCAAACCGCTTATACAGGAACTCTTATGGCAGAGTTGTCCATATGATAAGCAGGGCTCAGAGTGGGCTCACATGTGGTTATGCCACACCAATGCTGCTTGACAGCAATTGCATACCCACACACACCAATGCTAATTGGTTTTCTATAACTCAATAGGGGTTCCTGTGATTTCTTGCAACAATGAACCCATGAGACAGCAAGACACCCTGACAGAGGGGTTTTTCTTCATCACTCAACATCAAAGAGTAACAGTAGTCATACTCTAAAAGACCATTCTTTGTGTCAACCAGCCTTGTGAAATGACCTGTAAATAACACAGAGCCATTCCAAAAAGTAGCACTGACTTCAAAAATGCTGTTTCAGGTAGGACTGGTCTCAGACCATAGCAATCAGTAGCTAGGCTTAGTGACCAAAGATCTGAGAGAATTTTGTACTAGGATCACCATACAATGCAAGCAGCATTAGTATGAGGACAAACAGAGCAAGAGAACAGTAAGATAAAGACTGGACAAAAAAGGAACAAAAAGAGGGCATGTGGGAAAGTGACGGAGAGTATGAGGAAGTGTGTGCAAAATAATAATCAGGAAAGAAAGGAAGCAAAGTGGTATGACCAAGGAAGGAGGGGGAAGTAAGTAGGAAAGGTAATATTTAACACTGAGTCCATATGTATTTTTGTTCTATTTATTCAAGGGTTTATAATCTCTATTACTGATTTTTCCCTAGGAGCTAAGAAAGACATGGGGAAAGTGAAGAATCTGAGCTATTTCTCACACAAGATGCAAAGCAGATAGTAGTAGCTCTTTAGGGCATTTTGACAAGTGCTCTGGGATGGAGTAGGGGGCGAGGTGTTTTAATTAGAGCAGTTCTCAGGAGCTACTCTAATTAAAATGCCCACAGCACCTCATGTATTCAGTGTTCCATGCTTCAAAATGGTGGTGGGGGCACTTCAGTAAAGCTCGTTCAGCGAGCTTTAGTTAAAGTGCCCCCAATGCCATGTTGAAATGTGGAGATGCTGAATACATAGGACAGCAAGGCTGCTGGAGTGTTCCAATTAGAATGCTCCGACAGACTTGATTAATCTGCTAATTAGAACGCACTGAAACAGGTGTCAGGCACATGTACAGGTGCCCTTAGAGATGACCAAGTCTAGGACTTTATTTTGATTTCTGAGTCATCAATGCCACAACATATATCACAGCTAACTCCAGCCCCAGGCTATTCTGGCTTCTGCTACTGTTCCAGAGCATTTGGAATATCTGCTTCAAAGGTGGGGTCACAGTGGGACAAAGGATGCACAACCCCAATTTTCTAAAAGAAGGTGTAGTCAGTGCACTTGAAGGGTCCTTCATTTTGACATACCCTGCAGACATAGTCCACCAATAAGAGAGTGCTACAGAGGCCTGGATGTTACTTTGTAGTTGTAGCTGTGGCAGAAGTCCAAAGGAGAATGGCTGTGCCTATAAGGTAAATCATGCTTATCATCTGCATTCGCCATTTAAAAATGTATCATATCAATGTAACCTGACATTTAAGCAAAGCAGTATCTTTAATCAGTGTTATATTAGAAGCATAACACCACTCTGGAATCTGTATGGCAAGGGAATAAGCTCTGATGCAAAATGCTGCCACATAATTCCAGAGTGCAGATCTGCCAAAAATTCCTTTGGTCCCAGGACTGCACAAATACCAAATGAGCTGTCTCCCTTTTTACTGCAATGTAATTGCTACATACTGGCTGCCATTGAAAAGTCCAGTGTCTTGGGCATACACTGGTAGCTCAGAGGAACTATATGTCCCTCTGTTCATAAAAATGAAGTGAACTGAAAAAAAGAGAATAAGATATAAGAGCTAGCAGAATAATATGTCAGTTTTCTTTCTGCTCAGTATTTAGCATATTTTGTATAACAGTCATAGGACTCCAGTTTGAATAAATTAAGAACCAGTGCAGTTTTAAATACTAGATGGAGATATAATGTCTTCAGAGATTTACAGAAACCTATTTTATAGCTGAGGGATGTTTCACGTAAAACAGAGGCATTTATAGTTGGAAGAGAAATGGCTAGGCTTCTGCGGGCAGTAAGTCATTTATGGAAAGAATGTACTATTCATTTACAATGAACTACAAGAAGATGTATCCCTCCAAAAAGGAGAAACTTCTTGGAATAAGCTTCTCCCAAATTCTCATGTCTTCACTCTGAAAAGGCAGGCCCTAAACTTGTATCTTTACCTCAATCAAAGCTGCTATTGACTTCAGTGAGCATTTGCCAGAGCTACAACTGGCTAAAATGATTTAATAAATGAATGAAGGCTTCAGGATTTGATCCTCAAGAAAAGAAAATGTCAGACTGAACCATTTTTTAGAGAAAGTTATTTTCTCAGAAGAATCTTTTTTTTCTGTTTTTGAAGAAGTTAATTCTAGGTTGACAGAAAGCCATGACCAAAGATGCATATACAGCAGTTAGAGAACAGCTAACTAATGAAAATCGTTGTTTTCTTTTGTTTCAGAATGTATCCTCCTTTTCTGACTCACCGTTACTTCCTGTTCATATGTCCAAACACCACAGGCCAGTTCAACACAGAATATCACAAGCAAACTTCCAAAGTACTGCAAAACACAGAAGAGCCGTAGTTATATATCTACATTCAAATTACTTATAATATAGCTTTTTTACCATATTAATTTAAGGACCATGTTTTTTTCACAAAACTGACAGTGAAAAATCTGAAAATGCTTCTTTTGTAACCAAAGCATTAAGGAGTTGTGATTCATGAAACAAAGTCTGGAGTTAGCTTTCGTCTAAGTATGTTGAAATAACGTGACACATTGAAATAAATGTTGCGGTTTATTCCTCATTGACTTAATATGAAATATATCAAGTGTTACCATGGGGATATGAATTAATTTCCTAGTTACCTCATAAAACAGGACTATCGTGACATTTCACACTGCAACAGTCCCACAGAGCCCAATATTTCTGTTCTCTATACACACCAAAAATCCTCATTTTCCAGTGCTCCTCATGTAATCAATATGAACCCAAATTGAGCTAACAAAATGAATATGGGATGGGTGGAAAATATTCAAAATGTACATATAAAAAAGGAAGTTAATTAACTGTTGCTAGGCCCACATAGTATTTATAAAAGCTGGTTTGGGGAATTATGAAAAGCAGAGTGTATCTGTGGGCAATATCAGTAAACTAGCATGAGCTTGCAGGATGAGGTAGCACACAGGGCAAGATTGTGCATCATAAGCAATTGCTTTAATGCTGCTAAGGGGTAGTTCAGTTTACTTGTCTTTAAAACAAAGACACATCTTCCATCCATTTTTGTCTCTGTGCTCGCTACCATGCAGATGTCTGAATCCCTCCCTGCCCTCAAAAGAACACAAGACCTCAAAGGTCAAACAGTCTTCCTGAGCTTTTGCTTTATTTTGAATTCACAAGTAATTGATGACAGAAGGCTCTGACGACTTCCCTCATTCCTTGACAATTCCTATGGTTTTCATTCCCAGCTTATTTCCTCCTCAGTCTCTAGACCCACAACTCCTGATGGGCATACCCATATACTGTTTTTCTCCACAACGCAGTTAGAAACAACGGATTTTTTGCACAACCACCTAAAAAACCATTACTGTTTCATACCAGTATCTGCTTCTTTTTCCTTCCATTACACCTTCAAGTTTTTTTCTTGTCAAAGATACATTAACTCAATGCGTAAAACAGAAACACTACAGAACAAGTATAACCTATGCCCAATACCCTGACTTGCTCATCTTGCTTTGTTACATTCTGTCCCCTGTCCATTATCTGTATTTGGTCTTCTAGATTATAAGCATTTCTTCTCATCTTTCTGCACAGTGTCATAACCTTCAGCTGTGCAGACACAAAACCAACAAATAGAAATTAAAAAGTGACAATGGTCAAGGACATGCAGACTTCTAGAGGTGTTTTGCACCTGCTAGGCAAATAAACAAAAAAGTAGGAAGGCAAATTAGAACTTTAATCTCAACCTCATTAATCAGAGGGATTCACATAATGAATACTGTGAGCCACTAATATAAGAACATAAATGCTAACTGGATCGGTCTCATTTGGAAAGCACATTTGAATCAAGATTAACTGACTATAAAGAAAATCTGGATGTTCTAGAGATCCAAGTTTTAATAAAGGCACTTGAAGTATTCAGAAAGGCATACAAAAGTGAGCATAACTAAAGACATTTTTTCCATTTATTAAGAGAGCAAAACTCTTGGCAATGCTTGGAAAATATAAACTTGAGAATTAGGATTTAAGACTAATTTTCTTCCCTTTCATCTACAGTTTATAGCTGCAAAATTTGTACCCATGGTTTGGAGCCTATTTATTGATAAACTGTGTACCTAATTTTTTTATACTAATTACAGGTAAAATTTGAGCATCTGTCTTATAGGGAACCTGGTTTGTGTTTTTAAAAAACTTAACAGATTCAAATATGGGTACAAAAGTAGAGGAAGAGACATTAAAAAGGTTTAAACTGGGCTCATTAATACAGGTGCAGATAACTTCTAAAAACAGACCTCAGAAAATCAGAACAGAACCAATTTATCCAATTATTAGAAGTAATTACATCTTTATTATCATTTAAGCTGCACTATGTATATTGGCTCCTAACAAATCATCAACTTTATAAGCACATTGTAAAGTCTAACACAGACTATCAGCAACCTAAGGATCCAACAGAGGACAAAACCTAAGACATGTTTTACATCAGGACTTAGGAAACATGTTTGAGAAAAGAAAGTAAACTGATTAGCTTCTAGATAATACACAGACTATAAAATACATCCCCAGGATGTACAGTAATGGTTTTTAAGAACTGATTTTTCCCATGACATGGAAAACTACTCTGAAGAGTTTTGGTTGCTTCTAAAAAGACGTCTGATCTGCAACTTGATGAGAAAAAGTTTAAGGACAAAATGAATATTTGTCGAAAAACTCAGCAACTGAAAAATTAGATTAGATTAACTTAATTCTCAAAGGAAAACTGCCTGTTCATTTCTAAATTTCCACACCCCACAGGAATAGCAACTCTGTAAAACTCCTACAAACATTAATCAAAGTTGTATGTGTGGACCTTGCAAGTTCTGTTCTTGAAGCACCTTAAAGTCCATAGTGAGGAATATTATAAGTACTTGTAAGTCACAGCAATAAAGCATTACCATAAATTATGAATTTATAGATGCTTTTAACAATTTATTCCTTCCAGAATCTTTGCATTCAACATTCCATCTTTTGGCAGTTAATAATTGAACAACATTATCTCTTGGAGGAATAACAAAAATAACAAAAAACACTAAAACAATTTTCCTGTATTAAGCACAAGTTGAAATAAACCACAGTTCAACAAAAATGTGTTAAATCATTTCAGTCTGATTCTCTGAGATGCAGAGCACTCTCAAGGTGTTTCTATAAGCCTCAAGACCCTACAGAATAAATCCTTATCTCTTAAACACTTCACTGATTAACTACTGCAATCACATTAAAATATATGCTTAATTTCTCTCACCTTTTGAAAGAGAATCTTATAACTCTCCCTGACTTTAATGAGTTCCAAAATAAACAGCCTTTATACATGCTGTGTGAAAAAGTCTAACATTATTTAAAGTTATTCCCCATAATTTCAATCTTCCCAAGCACAAGATTTTTATTGGCTGCAGTTCCTGTCTCTGGATTCCAAACACATTCCCAGGAGAGTCTGAATTCCAAATAATAAATGCTTCTTCCTACAAGAGCAAAATCTTGCTTTTGTCAGTTACAAAAATTTGATTTAATTAATTCTTCCTTTGTAGCACGGGGTGATAAACTACATTCTGGAAAGAAGATTGTATGATGGGAAGAAGATTGTATTCCATTGATGGAGAATGTCATGGCACACTCAAAACCTTGCCACAAATCACTTATGTTACCACAATTTCAGCGCTTGTGTTGCTCCCTCAAGTACAAGCCTATGACCAATTTATTTGTTAATGTACTTTTGTGCAAACAGGATCCTCCATAGCAATAACCAATGGCACAGAGTATTCAATACTCAAGACTCAGAGACTTCTAAACTACCATGTATGTTCAGAACTCTTATGCGGTTCTTAAACATTACCCATTTTTTTCTTATTAAAGGTGTGTGACATTTCCATAAAACTCTCTGGCACGACAAGGGTGTTGAGGGAGCTAGCTGGGGTTATTGCAGGGCCCTTGGCATGGCTTTACGAGCGCTCATGGTGCTCAGGCCAGGTGCCACATGACTGGAAGATAGCTAACGTGGTCCCCATCTTCAAAAAAGGGAAGAGAGAGGACCCGGGCAACTATAGGCCCATCAGTCTTACCTTAATCCTAGGGAAACTCTTTGAGAAGATCCTCAGGTAGCACATCTGTGATGCGCCGGCTTCAGGGATGATGCTCAAGGGCAACCAGCACAGTTTCATTAGGGGCAGGTCATGTCAGACCAACCTGATTGCCTTTTATGATCAGGTCACAAGGGCAATGGATGCAGGTGTTGCTGTGGACGTAGTCTTTCTAGACTTCAGCAAGGCCTTTGACACCGTCTCCCACCCCATCCTCATTAAAAAACTAGGCAACTGTGGCATTGAT